TCACTTGACCCTCCACGTGCCATATCAAATAATTAGAAGGCCTACTATTTCCAGTGGTTATATTCAGACACACGGACCCCATGCTGTCATACGCTTCCATGCTTCCCCAAGACCACACGTGGCAAAATAGTTTGATAACAGATTTGAGTCGAGGTGTCCTGATTTCCAATCGGATACTGTTTCCACATCTGGTTGCTTCCCTCTGAGTCCAAACTCCATTCAAAGGGAAAACCAACCTCTGTGGAGTGTTGCTTCCCTGTGAGCGTTTCATACCGTGGAGGGCACCAGATGTCTGCTTCCTCAGAACCATTTCCCCTTCTTCTTTGGGAATGCATCTTTTCCCCATTTGTGGTCCACAAAGTAGGGATAGAGGGACTCCACCCTTAGCAGAGAGGGGCACGTGACTCCTCCCCTTGGTTTACGGATGGAGAGTCTGGGCCTTCATCTGCAATGTTGACAGTACCCCAGAATGGAAACGTACATATTTAGTTTTGCCTTAAGTTATCGTGTGTGTGTGTGTGTGTGTGTGTGTGTGTGTGTGTGTGTGGTCTTTGCAAAAGAAACCAACTCCTAACAGATACTCTCACAGAAATGTGTACCCCTATTCCTCCTCTCCAGTGCAAAGAGCCCTAACACCCTTCCCTAGCGAGCTGCAGTTGTACAAACCTGCAGGTTTTGTCTTGGATTTAGGCTAGTTCCTCTTCCGAGTCAGCCCTAAATGAAGTCACGGTGTAGCCGTGTTTTGTAAACTATTGGAATGCTGGCTCCACCCTGTACTTGGGAAAGGACCTACTCCACTCCATTGAGGTTTCTGCTAGGTGCTCCTGGAACCCAACTGGAAAAGGTAAGGGCAGAGGCCATGAGAGGACTTCAATAAAAGGGAGAAATGGATCCATACAATGGAATTGCCGAAGTAATCATTTTGGTCCAAAAGTTTTTTTTTTTTTCTTTTCTAGCCAGTGCATCCTCCTCATGCCACCAGACTATTCTAAGACAGATCTGGTCATTCACCTCTGTGCTTTAAGAATTTATCGCAGAGGCCAGCTGGTACTGGGACAGTTAAGGCAGTAGGCTCTTACACAGCTGAATGGGTTGAGTCCTGGGCACCTGTGCATGTGTGCCCAAAATCCTGAGAGGAGAACGGAAGAGAAGGGATTGTGGCATGGCCATCTTCCTGGAGGTGCTTTCTTATTTTCTATATTCCCCTGTCTTTGTAGGTCCCAGGGAGCACATGCAGCTTACAGCAAATTAAAAAAAAAAAAAAAAAACTATCATAAAGGATAAAGAGAGTCAAAGAATAATTATGACAGAGAAAAGTGGCAAATACTACCCAGGACAAGTGATGTAAGTCACCATGAACAACGATAGATCATATGGGTAGTTCATATCCTTGCTATGAGGGACCAGCAGTTGGCATAATGGCTATGTCACTGGACTTCCATGTAGTCAATCACAGTTCAAGTCTCAGACCCGGTAGCTTAAACTCATGCCAGGTGCGGGTGTGTGCATGCCCAAGATCCCAAGAGGAGAATGGAGGAGAAGGGATTGTGGCGTGGCCATTCCCCCTTGGGGGTTGATTTCTCGCTTTCTGTCTGTCTCTGTCTTTCTGGTGAGTGCACGTGCCCTATAGCAAAAACCTCTCCAAAAAAACCCCCAAAAAACATATCCTTGATAGGATGTTATGAGAATGGCTTACCTCTATGGTCTTCCTTCCAGTAACTGGAACTTCAGTCCATGAGAGAACCTGAAAATCCCAGTAGATGGTCTCCTACAAGGTATCTAACTAGCACTCCTCGGATGTGCCAAGGTCGGTTAAAACAAGGAGACTGAGTCACAGTCATAAGGAGCCTAAGGAGATATGACACCTCAATGTAGTTTAAGAAAAAGGACACAAAGAAAAAACTAAGGAACCCTTAATCAAGTGTAGACTTCAGAGAATAACGTTATTACTAGCAGTGTTGGTTCAATGGGTGAAAACAGTGCCATCTCGTTTAAGATCTTTTCTCCATCACTGCCAAATGTACCTACCTCATGGGACTGCTGACGGGAGTTCATGTACGTCCTTCGCAGCATGGCCTGGCTTCCAGCAAACCCTCAGGAAAGTGCAATGATGTATTATCCATTTTTACTTGTATTAGTATGATTATGACATGGGTCAAAATTTCCAAGAATAAACATGTCTCCTCAATCTTTTGCAGAAGCAGTGAAGGCAGATTCTAGAGGTTAAGACCTTAAGCGTGCCAACATTAAGTCTATGTGCTTCGGTGGAAATAAAAGTACAGATTAACCTGCAGTTCGAGCCGGCTGAGTGTAGGCCGGTAACGTTCTTATCAGCAAGACTGGTTTGTGGGTAAAGAAGCAGGGGACCCATCTGGCCAGCTGGGTTTACATAGCCAGGTTTGAGTGCAAGCCTGTAGCCTCAGGAAGTTCCATGGGAGAAGAAATTCTTGTCCAACAAAAGTTCCTTTTCTACAACAAAGCAATTAATGAAAAGGGCAAACAACTTCACAGCTCCCCCAAAATGTACCTAAATGTGCGAATTTCACACCTGGTGGCTTTGAGTCCACAAAGTACAGAAACCTAATGATATTTCCTCTGTGTTGTTTAGGGTGGCCTGGAGGGAGATTTTGCTCCTTCCTCTCCTTCCTTGAGGGCAACGTATTCCTGCTTCCAGAACTCTGGGAGAATCTTGGATGGCTATGAACTTATCGTATCAGTCATTTCTGACTGGGCCTCAGTTTCCTGGTCTTATAAAAATGAGGATGTTGGATTACATAACATGTAACACACCTTCTAGCTCTAATAATTAATCATTCATTTCTTTTTTTAAAAAAATATTATTTAACTTTATTATTATTATTTAATTTGCTATAGGGTACGTGTGTTCACCAGAGAGAGACAGAGACAGAGACAGAGGCAAAGTAAGAAAGCAAACTGTCAGCTCTGGGACTTGAACAGACCTTAAGCGTGCCAACATTAAGTCTATGTGCTTCGGTGGAAATAAAAGTACAGATTAACCTGCAGTTCGAGCCGGCTGAGTGTAGGCCGGTAACGTTCTTATCAGCAAGACTGGTTTGTGGGTAAAGAAGCAGGGGACCCATCTGGCCAGCTGGGTTTACATAGCCAGGTTTGAGTGCAAGCCTGTAGCCTCAGGAAGTTCCATGGGAGAAGAAATTCTTGTCCAACAAAAGTTCCTTTTCTACAACAAAGCAATTAATGAAAAGGGCAAACAACTTCACAGCTCCCCCAAAATGTACCTAAATGTGCGAATTTCACACCTGGTGGCTTTGAGTCCACAAAGTACAGAAACCTAATGATATTTCCTCTGTGTTGTTTAGGGTGGCCTGGAGGGAGATTTTGCTCCTTCCTCTCCTTCCTTGAGGGCAACGTATTCCTGCTTCCAGAACTCTGGGAGAATCTTGGATGGCTATGAACTTATCGTATCAGTCATTTCTGACTGGGCCTCAGTTTCCTGGTCTTATAAAAATGAGGATGTTGGATTACATAACATGTAACACACCTTCTAGCTCTAATAATTAATCATTCATTTCTTTTTTTAAAAAAATATTATTTAACTTTATTATTATTATTTAATTTGCTATAGGGTACGTGTGTTCACCAGAGAGAGACAGAGACAGAGACAGAGGCAAAGTAAGAAAGCAAACTGTCAGCTCTGGGACTTGAACCATAGTCAACCATGTGAAAGTACAACACCTTAACCACTCTCCTTCCTGCCAGCCCAGAGTTATTAATTTCAGTCATGGTGAGAATAGGAAATTTATCCCCTGGAAGATAATTCAAACCTTAAGGAACCAGGAGCTGATTCTGTAGGCTTGAAAGGACATGTAGCAAAGAGGTTTTCCTCCATGATCCCAGGTAATCTGAGGAGGCCAGCAAGCCCTTGTGGGGATGACCGTGTGTATCAAAATGGGGGCAGGGCTAGCTATCAATTTTGCCTGCCCAACTTTCTTGTCCCTCTCTTCTAGAATAGAATCGATCTTCTCCCATAGGAAACTGAGCCCTCAGAACCAGTGAGATTGACAATCACATGACCTCACTTTTCTAGCTCCTTTGAGAAAGGTAATTGGATGAGTGATCCAAAAAGAAACTAGCAAGTAGGCCAGCAGGTGAGTGGGAGTTAAGGTGGCTGGATCCCATATGACTGACTAAGCAGTTCGAGTCCTAGATCCAGCGACTTGAACTCCATACTGAGCACGTGTGTGCACTCAAAAATCCCAAAAGGAGAATGGAAGAAAAGGGATTATGGATGGCCACTGACCTTGAGGGAGGGGTTCCCACCCTTCCCCCTTTCTCTCACAAGCGTATGTGCCCTGCAGCAAAATGAAAAAAAATAAAATAGACTAGTAAGTGTCCCTTTAGGGGACAAATGTGGATGGTGGCAGAGAACAGGTCTCTCCTCTAAACACCCAAGACACTTGGAGCTGTTGGGAGTCATCTTTGCTACCAAATGCAGAGGCCTTGGAGAGACCAAAGCCACCCAGTGGAAAGTGCAGAGAAAAACAGAAAGGAAAGGAGGAAAGGAAGAGGGGAGAGAGGAAGGAGGAGAGAGAAAGAGAAAAGAGCGAACAGGTAGAAGGAGCAGAAGAGGATTGGATGCGGGAGATGAAAAAGGAGGGAAGAATACGAAGGGAAGGGAAAGGAACAGGGACAGAAGGAGGAAGATAACCCCCAATGACTCCATTCCCTCCTTTGAACCTCTGAATCCCACCATCCAGAAAGGAAGAGGTAAGTCTTGGCCTTTCTGGTGACGTCAGACAATAACTTCCTGTTTTTCCTCCAACCCATCGGGTTCTTCCCACAGAGACCCATGTCCCCCAAACATTAGAAACCAACAGGACTGGAACGTTGATTAGAGATGGAATGAACTCACTTCAGAAAGAAACAAGGTTTATTTGATGAATATAAATAAGGCAATCCGCACAAAGTACTTTTCATACACATGATAACAAATTTACGAACTGTACATACCTTGCACGGGGGTATGCGCTACTAGACACAAGGTTACAATGACTGGCAAATACATGCCCACTGGTAGTTTCGAGGGTTCCTTAAGTTTTGTTTATTTATTTATTTATTTTTCATATCAATGTCCATAATCACAGGGTCAATATCACAACCCACATGCCACTCACTTGAAGAAATATTACAAGAAGCACTATCAAACAAGGGTCTCAGGGAATTAGATACACTGACCCTTGGCAGCATTCAAACGCCACTCTACACAGACACGTTGCAGATAGAGCTTATGTCAACACGTTTGAGGTCTCGTCATAAACACTGTTTAAGAAGTAAATTGAAACCCACTTTCGAATGAAAGTTGACACGCTGTGAATGTGCATACTGGATACACAAAAATCATTAAATACAAAATTGAGACTGTACACGGAAATCCAATGGGGTATAAAGTACAAGCCTGCATTTGCACAAAGTAAGACCATGTGAGTCCCAACTGTTTTTGTTTTTGTCAACTACAGTATGATTAGAAGGAAACCTGCTAAAGTTTGCACAAAGGAAATACCTTCCCAACATCACAGTGTTTGCTGTAAACCCAGAGACAATGGTTCATATGTGAAGAGGGATTGTTTTTGGTCACCCCCAAGTATTAGAGACTGTTACATGAGATGAGAAAAGATGCTGTGTCAGATAGAATTGGATTTGTAAGGGACTAAAGAATATGCCCCCATAAAGGTAAGGTCAGTAATACTTTTAATCAACCAAAGTGGGACCAAAAAAATGACCCCCAAAACAATAGCTGTGACAAAATTGGCACATACGTAGAGATATCTAACTAAACAACTATTGGTTGTTTTTTTATTTTATTTTATTTATTTATTTTTTTCTGCTTCAAGGACCCTATCACTTCCTACTTCAAGTATTCAGCTGCAGAATTCAGGTCAGGACCTGGTGGTAGGAGGCAGTGAGGATCACCTCTTGGATGATGCTCAAATTATTCACAGGGATGCTTTTGTGGCCTGGGTTTCCGGTACGATGTTGTGCCAACACATGCTCAATAAGCTTGCAAAGACTCTGCCTGCTTTTCCAACTGAGACCTAGATCCCTTTGATAGTTAAAGGACAAACTTTTTTAAACATGAATGTAGTTGGATTGTGGATACAACAGGTAAGCTTTATACGATTTGCTGTACTTCCCGACGACAAGGACAAAGCCAGAAGCAAAGAACCTTCTTGAATATATTCCTCCTAACACACCCAGTATGAATGGTGTGACTCAGAGATGGTTTCGTCTTCCCTGACAAATAAGGTGTCTGTCTTTTAAATATCTCTATGGCTCACGAAAGAGGTCCAGAGTTAAATGCACCAATGTTTTCAAAAGGAATAATAATGACTAAATTCAATGCAAGACGTCAGAAACATGTGTTTAGAATCCTCCCCCCACCCCAGCAGCAAAGAAAGACAACTATATTTATTAAGGCCACTCATGCTTAAATTCACTGTTTGTCCTTTAAAAATGCAGGTTTTCACCTCCCACTTGCATACACGTGGAAGGGTTTCTTCCATCGACAAGAAAATGGATCAGGACAAGAGTGGCACATGTTTGCCAGACTCGGCCATGAGTTTGATGAAGTTATAACAACTTGAACTTTTGACTTAATCTTCAGAGGAAGCGGTAGGAGTTGAAGTCTCCTTAGTACCATGTCACTGTATGTAAAAGACCACAAAATGCGGTGTCTTTCCCTGGCATGTACTTTAAATAATGACTCTATATTCACGTACACGTTGTGTGGAGCTATATACAGATACACAGCTTTTGTGATTGTTCCTCATTCATCAATGTTTTCATGTTTGATGCTGAAAAGGCTTTGGAATCCATGATGGAGACTTCATTAAAAAAAAAAAAAAAGAAGTGAGAAATGACCCTTTATTTACAGAAGACCTAAGCTTACACTGTTTACACAGCTTTTGGATCTGGACATGAGAATGATTCCCAGCTTCGCCATGGAGACCTGCATGTACCGAGATGGGAGGAGTCTGAGGCCCAGTCGTGGGAAGGTGCGGGACCCACGGAGTGGAGACGGGAGGTGCCTCAGACTCTTGCCACTCTGCAGTACACGGCCAGGCTTGATAAAATTATGAATGATCAATTTAGATGTGCCATGCATTGTCAGAGACACACACCATGTTCTCATAAGGCGATTTCTTGGCAAGTATTAGTGGTTTAAAAAGTTGATTTCATTTCCAACCTGGCCCAGAGGTAACTACTGGTTACACCATCAAAATGTGGTTCTTCAAACAGCGGATTAAAGAAACAGAGGAGGGTAGAGGCTCACCGTTTTCAGGGTGTCGGTTTCTTTGTCAAACACTCCGCGCACTGCGGGATATAAACACTGTCAACACCTCTCACTCACAGCGAACTATACTTCTCAATAATCTAATGCATTAGGAATGAGCATTTCAACTGAACCAGAGATGAAGCTAGTTGTCCAACAGAAGCTGAATCCATAGTTGAAATCCCACGGAGTTCAAACGTATCCCGTGATGTTGTTCAAGTAACATCAATGAAATGCTATCAGATAAGGACATTCAGAAGAGCGGGTCACATTTCGAATGTCCAAATCCCGACAAAATATGGGGGATCTGTCATTTTTATTTTTCTCTGCATGCTTCCTTTTCAACATATCTGAATCCATGAGAAACGACGGGGGATGATAAAGGGAAGATTGAGGCGAACAGAATCCAACTTAGGAAGGAAAGTGAAAGCTCTTCTCCAGTTCCGGTGAGCCACTCCAGGTGGTGGGGGACCGTGACGTGAGCCACACTGCAACAGATTATCAGAATATTGCCGCAGAGCTGCGTTTTCCCTTTATTCAGCCCTTCTGATAGCTGCAATGAGAAAGCATGTAATTTAGCAGGAAGAGAAACTGGCAACAGTACCCGAGATCATCCTGCCAGAAGCTCCCTGCCTCCTCACCCCTGCAGCAGCCTCACCACCACTCTCTCCTGTTGGGGTTCAGTGGGAGTGGGGAGGGGGAGTGGGGAGGAAGCAGAGAGGAAGGACCGAGAGGACAGAAAGTGAAATTAGGTCCTGCACATCCATCTGAGAAGAGGCCTCTTCCAATATCTATCACATATGTATATAAATGTCTCGAGATACAAAAAGAAATTGGAGGGAAATATGGACGAATGCTCCAGTGATTATTTCTAGATCATTTGATAAGGGGTTACCTATTTTATTTCTGCATTTTTCTATAATGACTATGGTTTTGAACTTTCTTTTCTTTTATTTTACATTTTTAAATTTTATATATTTGCTACAGGGCGCGTGCACTCGCTGGAGAGAGAGTGAGAGAGTGAGAAAGCACCCCCCATGGGAGATGGCACGCCACATCTCCCTTCCCCTGCCCCCGTTCAGGACTTTGGGCACACACACAAGCATGTCCAGCATGTTTTTCAACACACTGGGTCTAGGACCCAAACTATGCAGTCGGCCATGTTGGATTCAGCTGCCTTACCATCGTGCCACTGGCTGGTCCTGAACTTATTTTTAAACTTTGATTTTTTTTTGGAGATTACATAGTTAAAGATGGTCAAGGCACCAGAAAATGTAACACTCGCTTAAAAACCAGTTCACAAGAATATTTAGCCCAATAATTCCATTCCTACATATATTCCCCAAAGAACTGATACACACAGATACGTGTATACAAACAGCCAAGACACCATGATTCACACGAGCCAAAAGCATCTGCCAACAGATGACTAGACAAATCAAATGTGGTATGCGCATACAATGGAGTATTATTCAGCCACAAAAAGAAAGAAATTTTGATGCATCCTGCAATGCGGACGAACCTTGAAGACATCACACGACATGAAACAAGCCAGACCAAAAAAGACAAATACTGAATGATTCTCCTTACATGAACTCTCCAGACTAGATCAATTCATAGATGCAGAAAACAGATTAGAGGTTCCCACAGGTTGCAGGGAGGGGGCCGTGGAGAGTTGTCAGTGAGTACAGAATCTTCGTTTGGAATAATGAAAACGTTTTAGAAATGAAGAGTGGTGATAGCTAGACATCCCTGTGAAAGTAGTTCCTGCCGCAGACATGTACTCGTAAACTGGTTGCGATGGTAAATTCAGATTAAGTACACTTTATCACAATGAAAAAGAGGTTCAAAGGTATTGGTCTCCCCTTCAACAGAGCAGATTGAAACGACATGGGCTTTCATCACCAGATCCAATGCCTTGTGTGTGTGCTTAATGCCCAACACAAATGCGACAATTGCCCATCTGCACATGGCATGCCGCAGGAAATGGGTATCCAGAAGTCCCCCAAGTTTCTTCACTTTCCCCCTGAGGAGCCCTTGGTGATCAATACAACTACAGTCAAAAACAATGAGAGGCGAGAGAAGAGGGGACCCTCTCCCAGGGCTGCTCCATATGAATGGCTTTCCTTCCCGCAGATGCTCGGTGCCTTCATCATTCATATGTGGCTTCTGAGTGCTTTGGGAGTTCCCAGGCACATGGTAACAGCGATCTCAGGGAAACGTGGCCGAGAGGGAAGAGGATCAAACACAGGCACCCATATGTGCGCACACACACCCACACACACACACACACAGCCACTTTTAACAGATAGCCTGAGCTGTCTGAATTGGTGGCTGATACTCAGTATTTTCTGAGCCTCACTGACTAATGAGAAGGCCACAGCTCCCAGCGTCTGCACAGGTAGGCAGCTATTTCCAACCATTGTTAAGCAGGGCAAATGAAATATGTGGCTTGGATGAACTCTGCTAATTCATCCTCTGAGGAGTTTGATGTAACCCTTCTGGTTAAGAAACTTGAATCAAAAAAAAAAAAAAAAAAAAAAAATTACTTTTGCAGAGCCAGAAAGTTAGGGAGTTCCTAGAGCAGCTCATATTACGTGTTCTGGCACATAAAAACCTCTGCAAACTTTGTATGAAAATTGTAAGTCAGAGCACGCTTTCTGTTTCATGAGTTGTACATAGCTCTAATTCTTTTGTGCATTAAGCATTTCTTAAGCATCCTTTTAAAGGGCTGACCAATATATTAAAAGGCCACATGATTAGTAAAGAGAAATGCAAAGTAGTATTAAAATGCACCAGTCGTTTCCTAAGGGGAGGAGGGGGAGAACGAGTGAAAAATAATGACAGTAAATGTCCGATGTCGTTGATGTTTTTCCAAGATAAAGTAGCAAAGAACAATCATTTATTCAGTTAGGAGAAAGATCTCCAGCTGGGTAACAGGTCACAAAGCAAGAGTCCAGAGGCAGCCTCAGAACGGCAGTGAGATTGATGCAGGAGTCAGAAGAACTCTGAGAAAGTGTCGCCACTCCTTCCATCAAACAATCCTTTCACCGGGAGGCAGAAATGGGCTTGAAAAAACAAACAAACATATAAACCCTCAAACGACATGCCAGCAGTTAGAAATGCAGATGAGCTCTTGTTACGGGGCCAAGAAGCATATGCTTCAAAAAATATACACGAACACAAATCCTGGATTCCTCCAACGAGATGATCTGAGCTGCACCCACTGGGAGCTAAGCCCTGGCCAGTCCTTCACCTGGACGGTCACAGCCTTGCGACTTCCGTGGTGACATCTACTTCATCACGTATTCCCTGTTTACAGCTTACAGCCTCCCGTTGACAGCCCTGTTTCCATCCGCATGGCCTGCAGGATGGAGGGCTGGCAAACTCCTGGCCACCCTGCAAGTGATCCATCTGGCTTCCCTCTCCAGCCCTACTCTCTGCCCTGACTTTCTGCCCTTGTGGCCACCATACAGAACTTGTTTCTGTAGCCCTAAAGCTTTTTTTTCTGGTCATCCCACCAAGGTATCTGTCTGACATGCACCTGTACCAACTCTTAGTTAGAGCAGTCCTTGTTTATATTTCTGTCTCAGCTCCGATGTCATGTCTTCCCAAAGCCTTTCCTGACCTTCCTGGGGGTGGACAGAGCACAGGAAGTCTCATGAATGCTGCAGTGTCCCCTTCCAGGGACTTATCTACTGTCCAATACAGGAGCCGATGGCCACATGTGGTCACTGAGCATTTGAATTGTGGCCTCTCCAAACTGGGATGTGCTATAAGGGTAAAATGTACATCAGAGCTTGAAGGGTTAATGTCACAAAAGAATGGACACTGTCTCAGTAACAATTTCTGAGGTTTTTGCCATAGGGCACATGTGCTCTCACTGGAGAGAGACAGAGAGAAGGAAAGTGAGAAGTCACCTCCCAGAGAGAGAGCCACACTGCAGTCCCTTCTCTTCCTGGGATTTGGGCCTGCACACATATGCGCCTGGTGTGATTTTTTAGGCCACTGTGTCTGAGACTCGAACCGAGGTCAGCCATGTAGGAGTCCAGCACCTTAACCACTGCAAGTCCAGCACCTTAACCACTGCACCACCTACTGGCTCCCTCAGTAACAATTTCTTATTCTAATTTTTACATTAAAATGATATTTTGGATATATTGTATTCAATACAAGGCATTACCATTCATTTAATCGGATTCTTAGTACTTTTTAAAATGTGCCTACTACTAAACCCCAAATCACAGATGTGGTTTAGATGGTTTTTCTTTTGAATAGCCGTGGCCTAAACTATAAGCTCTAGGAGTTTAAGGGACATTCTCTGTTTCCTGTACACGTTCATTCACTCTCTTCATTCCACGGATCTTAAAGAACATCTAGAGTGGACAGAATCCTAAAATCCACTCCTGTGGAAGGTTTCTTACCCGAACGTCAGGGACTGAGACCATATCAGACCACAACTGTCATTTTACAGATGTAATTAAGGTTACTAATCAGTTGGCTTTAAGGTAATGTGACAGATGATCTGAGTGGCCCTCATTTAGGATGGTACCTTTAGGATGAGGGAGAGGCCTCAAGCTGAGAGCAAGCCAGGAAACCAAGACCTCAGTCCTACAACCGCTAAGAACTGAAGTCTTTATTCAAAAGAGTTTTTTAAATGAAAGAATGTGTAACAAAAATATCAAGCGATTTTTTTTTTTTTAATGGGAAAAAAACCAGTATAGGATGGGATGGTTGCTCTGGACTGGGTTTGAGGTGGGAGTGCATGAAGGGGTGGGTGGGCAGGCTGTACCCAGCAGTTAGATTCCACCCCAGGACAGACACCCCCAGGGGAGCAGGCTATAAACTTGGGGTGTCTCGCAAATATTCCTTCAGACTGTTTTTCTTCGGAATAAAGACACCTGCCTGATTATGGCTGCCCTTTCAGTAGTGATTTGCAGAAACAGGCTGGGAGAAAGGGGTCTTTGGTAAACACGGAGAGGTTAAAGGGGAAACTGTTTAATAACAGTAGTAAAACGCAGGCTATTTTTGACATCTGGGTTAATGTCCATTGCCCAGCATGTGCTTTCCAAATGTGTGCAGGGCGCCCCCAGGCACAAAAACAGACACCCTGTTCACCAATTTCGATGCCCCTAACAAATTGCACGTGGTGCTCGCATAAAAGGCGAGCCCCTGATAGGCTAATTAAGCACGGGCTGAGAAGGGCTGGCCTTCTGGGGGCAGCCAGCATCCTGCAGACCAGCTCCGAGAAGCAACTCTGCTTGCAGGAAAACCCAATAGACTCGTTTCTGCTCCAGAAGAGAGAGAGGAAAAAAAAAATCTTTAACTCCATCTGCGTTATTACTTAACATCTTTTAAAACGGGGTGGAATGGGTTTCCCGTTTTCCTCATGAAGATTTATTTATTATTGTTGTGATCAAAGTGGTAACAAATTATGTTAAATCATTTAATTTTCTTGATAGGAGCAACCACCTTGAAGCCATAATTCAAAAATATGAGTGGAGAGCAACGTTTTACCTTGAGCGTGGCCTCCTACAGCTCCACAGAGCAATA